GGCGTATTTCATTAAAAAATTATTAGAAGAGTGCACTCTTCTAATAATTTTTTAATGAAACTTACCTTCAATTTTTTTTATAATTTTCTTCGATGCTGACCATGGTCAGCATCGAAGAAAATTATAAAAAAAATTGAAGGTAAGTATTGATATACTTACCACTCTTTTTTAAATTTAGCGTCGTATTTACATGTAGGGTGCATTAAGGATGCCTTACAATTATTTTATTTATAAATAAAAAATAGGCTTTGCAGTGATAACCAAAATATCTTATGTGTTTAACACTCTGGTTTCTATGGCTCTATAATATTAATAAACTTAATTTATTTTATGACATTTAAAAAGATTTTGTTTTATAAGTAATTTTGTTACACACTAACATTAATTTAGATTCGTATAGGGTGGAGTTCATTAGCAATAGCCCTAAATTATTTTATAAAATTGATAATTGCTTTTCTACTATGCCTAAAATATTACAAATTATTTAAAATGAAATATGTATTTTGAAATACGTATTTTTATTTTAAATTTTATTTCTTTTGCAGTAATATTCATAAATATAAAAATGTTTTTATTATAAATAATTTTTAGTTAATAGACGTATCATTATTTAAAATTTTATTGATTTTAAATACAAAATGATAGATTTTTTGAAACATTGCTAAAAGTAGCTTAAAATTAAGATATATACATTTTATTTTTAACGATACTTCTTGCATTGTTTTAAAATAAATATTATTTTGTAATCAATGAAATAAAATTTTAAATCTTGTATCTATTAATTAAAAAAAATATTGGGTCATAGAAAACATCACATGTTTTTGTTTTAAGAAAATTTATTCTTGAATTAAGTAAGTATCTTTTTTATTTAAGAATACCAATAATTTATTTTTAAAAGAACATGTTCTTGTCTCATATAGGGAGAATATATTCTTTAAAATAGTAAAGTATTTTCTTAATTCACGTTGATTTACTTCAAGAATCTTTTCTTAATGTAAGAAAATTAAATTTCTTGAAATAAAACTTTGATTGTTTAAATGCAAGAATATGCATATTCTTGCATTTAAACAATCAAAGTTTTATTTCAAGAAATTTAATTTTCTTACATTAAGAAAAGATTCTTGAAGTAAATCAACGTGAATTAAGAATAGTACATTCTGTAACAAGTTTGGAATACAGCATATTCCGCTCGAGGAAAAATTTGACACACGAGCCGAAGGCGAGTGTGACGGTTTTACGAGAGTGGAATATGCTATTCCAAACGTGTTTCAGACATTATTTTCTCTACGACTACGTAAGAATAGTAACGCTTATATAATTTTAAACAGAGAAAAGAAACCAAGCAGTTTTTGACATTTAAGTTTTTGTACTGTCAAACCATTTTGTGCCGTCACAATTTTATAATTTAATTTATAAATTTAAACAAATGGTATGCCTAAATCTTTATTATAATTAAAAATAGTTATTTACACTAACTAATAAAAAAATAACATTGTACCAAATACAAAACTAATTTTACAAGTAATTGTATGATTAGAGGTGTCCCTCTATAAACTGTATGTTTCTTGGGATGAAAATAAAGTATTTTATTTTATTTATTTATTTATCTATGTCAACATCTATTCTTTTTCTACATTTTAAAGGTCTTTTTTTAAACTTTTTGAATCTGTCAAAACTTCAAAGCCGGTATAGTAGGTAACTGGTTTATCATTTTAATATCAAATTTATTATAATTTTGATTTGTATATTTGAAAAACAATAAATATAACCAATTTTTTGTGCCTAAACCTTAATTATACAACTGCTATTATTTTTTAATTAATAAATAATACAGTAATATTTAAATATTTTTAAATTTTTTACGTTTAGTAAACAGTCAGGAGATGTCGTTACTTGTGACCATTCTTAACCAAGAGTAGGAATATTCTCGCACAGTATTGCAGAAAAACATCCTTTCTATGATCAAAAATTACACTAGAATGTTACTATTCTTAAGTAGTCGTAGAGAAAATACTTTACTATTTTAAAGAATATATTCTCCCTATATGAGACAAAGATTGTTTTTATATATGAGACAAATATTGTTTTGAATCAAATAAATTTACAAGAATATTTTTTTTCTGTGTATGTTAAAAAATTTTTACGCAATTCCGTTAACAAAATCTTTAAATTTTAAACTTTATTCTTGTTTAAAAAATTCAATTCATTAGGAATAATTTAACAATATTTCAATTCTAATAAAATTTAAAGGATTATGTTTAAGTTTATATAAAACATTTTTGGTTAAATTCAAAATTGGGTATCTGAGAATACAATAGATAAGTACAAAAAGTGAAAACATGATATTTTTTCATTCATTACGTAATTTAGGATTTCAAAAATCAAACTACTTTTTAGCTTTATCTCGTTAATTAATACGTTTGTTAGCGGTTTTAAGATTTCAAAATCGTTTAAAGGCAGACGAGAAGAAAAATCTCTCGTGATACCTGAACGGTGAACCCGAATGTTGGCTGGCAGTATCGAAGACAAATATTTATAAATCGGGGTCCCGGTTCTTTTTTCTTCCACTAAGTGGAATGTCATGTCGAGCATTCGTCTTTTGAATGTTTGAATTTGTTTTATTGTTTTTTCGTCAAAAAACGCACGACGAAACCAGTTCCCCAATATCAACTCTATAAAGTTCCTACTCATTTACTAATTATTTCCTTACTATAAGGGCATTTTTTTAATTTTTAAATATGGTTTTTATTTCAAACAAGTAATAATATAATTTAAAAGTTAAAAGTTATTTTATGGTATCTATAGGATGCAACTTAAGGAGTTAGATTATAATCTTCTAAACTTCAGATTGAAAATGGTAAATGGCAAAACTTAAAATATCCTCTTCAAAGTAACTTTTTTATAATTTAAGTTAAATTATTTTACACTTGCAAGTTTAGTTTAAAAAGCAATCATTATCATCAATGGTATTTCCATTAGATCCTCCAAAAACAATGGTATTTCTTATAAAAGTTTATAATTATTACGCGCGAGCGTCAAGATTCCACACGACACCGCTTGCGACGAGTGTTAAAAGCTAAATATTGCTTGTGTTTTTTTTTATTTAACGAATAGCCTGACAAAAAAAAAAGAATATTTTTGACAATTTTGATGCCAAAATATGAAGATAAGCAAAATATATAGATTGATTAAAAATTGAGTAATATTTTAAAATAAACCCTTATATGAAAAATCATTAAAATTAAATGTCTGAAATTTATCAAATCAAATTTTTGGGTTTAATATTTAATATAAAACCCCAAGATAAGCAAAATATATAGATTGATTAAAAATTGAGTAATATTTTAAAATAAACCCTTAGCTATATGAAAAATCTTTAAAATTAAATGTCTGAAATTTATCAAAACAAATTTTTGGGTTTAATATTTAATATTAAACCTCAAAATTATATTACCCAGCCGCCCAAGAATAAAAAATTATATATTTTAAAAAGTTTGATAGTTTTTAGAGTTTAGAGTTTTTGTTGTGTCTCATCACTCTACCTAAAAAATTATATGATGAAGAAAGTTTATTTTGCGTTTTTTTTATAAAAAAACGTTTTATAGAGAATACCAAAAATGATTTTAGTTATAGTTTGTTAACTATATAGGAAATATTTATTAATCTTTTGTTTTTAGTTGGCTAGATTCTGTTTTGTATTTTAAAGTAATTTAAAATTTAAACTTCATGGCTTCGTTTATACGTAATTGAAGACCCCGGGGGTAAATTTGGTGAGTTACAAATTTATTTTTATGAGAAAGAAATTATTTAAAAAAATCGTTTTAACAGTTTATTTTAGAAACTAATTAAAAATGATTTTCAGGATTAAAAAATACCATAAAACATTTCTTCTCCAAAAAATAAATTTGTCGCTAAAAGCGTTTTGGTCCGAGGCCTTTAATTATTTTATATGACATATTTTGCACCATTTGGGAAAAACTAAATAAGTCAGAAATAAGGCAACAATGTGTTAAATCCTTTAGCTATTGACATATTGACCACTTTGGGTACAGGTAATTAATTATTATTAATAGAATTATCTAGTTTTTCCCAAACGATGCAGATATGTTATTTACAATTTTCAAAAACACCAGAGAAGTTTAAACAAGAGATTTATCCAAAGAGTGTCCTCAACATTTTACCTCGTGGAACACCTCGATCCTTCATTTATATAAATATATAGGATCGATATTTTTATGACAATACAATTCATTAATATTAGAACCAATAAAATGCCAGCATTCCATAGTTACGCATTTTATCTCAGCGGCAATATTTTTTATCATCTTGTTTACACGGTACTAAGGATTTTGACACTTTTCTTGATTTAACATTTGTTGTCATTTAAATTCTGTGTTTGATATATATCAATGAAATAATGAATTATAAACTCTAAAAGATCGATGGGTTGGAGTAAACGATAATGAAATTAAGGTAAGTTTTAATAAATAAGGTTTATTAAAGTCTTTTTATATTTTAAAGCACATTTTAATTTTAAATGTCTATCTGACAATTTTTTAAATCCTAAAATTCATTGTATTTTCTCACTAAATATAACTCGTGGTATGATTAATAATCGAATCCTGCGGACTCGTGAAATCTGCAGCTCGGTTTCAATTCGAAAATATCATCGATGATAATCATACCACTTGTTATATTATGGGTGATGATAAAACTTGGATTACCTACTAGTTTTATTTTTAGGTTTATGATGAAAATCATAAATGGTTTGTAAGGATGATTTCAATAATAATGCTGTTCTTAAAGTTATCATTTAGACACCAAGGAATTTTATAAAATATAGGGTGCTTCCCACCTTGTGAGACACAATGTTGTTTTTCTTTGGTCTTTTAGTATTTTGAATTACTAGATTTTAGTTTAAGACCATCAAGGTGCCACCTTGAAGATTGTTTAAATAGTGAACCTCGTGGAACTTTAATGATATTGCTTTTGTGACTTACCACCAATCTGCATTGGTGCACGTGAGTTGTAGCGTCGCTAGAAGGACTACGACGAGTACGAGTTCGGCGTCGAGACGCCGCATGACGTCCTATTAACACCAAGTCACTGTAAACAACGCACTGAACTCACTTTTGAATGAAATTTTCGTAAAAAATTTCCTGTGAACGGAGCTTTACTTGTCGTTGCTGCACACTGTATCCGAGTGAAGGCGCGCGAAGAAACTGAAAACGCAGAGAAGCCGTGAGTGAAGCGCGTGTTCACTTCGAGCTGCCGGGGTGCCGGAGCCGGGGGCGGAACCCGGGGGCCGATTGGACGCCGCGGTGAACGCCCACGACGCCTGCCGGCGCCCCGATACCACGTGTTACTGCTTAAGCGAGATTTCTTCGCGAAAAAATTTTATTCGGCCATGGACATTTTTTGATTTCAGCCTTTTTGGGCAATTTTTTTTTGTTGACTTGGATATTAAAATCTTTATTAGACGGTATAAATTTTCCATTTAAAACAGCTTTCAATTCATACTAAAATAAAATTATATTTATCCAAGGGACAGGAAACACTAATAAAATTTACATACATTTTGGGATTTTTCTTCTATTATTTAAAAACCAGCTTCATCTTCGTAGCACTACAAAGAAACGGGACATACAATTTTGGAGAAAGCTTAAATTTTAATAGAAATTATTTTAGATTTATAATTTTTTTGCCAAAATGGTACCTAAATTTTAAAAAATTAAGCTTTGAAAAGAATGACAAAAATACCATTAAAGACACAGGTCTATGATTGTTAAAGTTAAAGTAGCGGCTGGTGGATTTTGGGCACACACATATCTCAGTTATTAGACATGGGACCCACATCAAATTTATGTGAGTTTATAATGACATTATATAGACAAGTTATTTAAATATTTAAATTGAAGTTTGCAAAAAAAAAATAGTTTTTTAGTGTGCCCCAGCCTCCTGTCCCCCCAAATTAGGATAATTCAAATTAAAGTGGTGCAATTAATAATTCATTACAGTTTATCAACAAATTTCAAAATTGATTTAAAAAGACCAAGTACACAGAAAAAAAGAATGGTTAATTTAACTATATTAATTTAGTTGACCCATATTTATTTAAATCAACTGTGGGAAGGTTAATATAAACAAAGATTAGTTTGACGGTACTAAACCAGATAGTTATTTTATTAAATTGGTTAAATTAACCCAGAAAACTTTAGTAAAACCAACCCGCTGTATGGTTCAGTTTACTAAATATGTTTTTTTATAAAATAAGACTTACTTCAACCTTAAGAACCCTGTTAAAACGATTAAAACATTTTGCCGTGCATTCCTGGTTGCATAGTATGTACCGATCGCGGCAAAGGCGATGTTCTTAAATCTCGCCTCTGTTGACTTACATGAAGAGTATATAAGCTCAGGTAAAGTGTATTCAAATGCAAGCTGGACTAAACAGTCGGATTGTGAGTCCTTATTGGTCGATTCGGAGGATTGTGTTTACATTTAGTCCGGCTTGGATTTGAATAGACTTTAGTCCTTTGTTTTAGTGTGACGTTACAACAAGTTGTTCGATACTAAAGATATCTAAAATAGACGGAAACACTGCCCTACTATGAAGAAAGGCAGTAACTGCTTAGCAAAAAATTTGTGGAAAATTAGCATAAACTACATTTTTATAAAAAGCAGTAGGTATTTAATTGATTTTTTCAACTTATGAGATATTTGACTGCATTTCTGTGTTGAATTCGGTTACAAAATGTCCATAGATGTACCATAGCACAAGAAAACGCATTTAGCATTTTTTTGCAGTTACTGCCTTTCTCCATAGTAGGGCAGAACAGCTGTCAATTATCAGATGGGCCCCCCTTAATTTAAAAAAGTTCAATGTTGCTTATAAATTATTTTGTGCATAACTTTTAATGCAAAGAAGTATAAAATTATAATAAAAAAGTATTTAAAAAAATATACGGACTGAGAGCCAGTGTTGCCAACAGTCTATTGTGAAAAGTCTCAACCAAGCTCTTCAAAAGTCGCCAGAAATCGCTAAATTATTTGGCACTTAAAAATCGCCAGATGTCGCAAATTTAAAAAAAAAGAGAAAAAAAAATTTAAAGTGGTTGCAAAATTTTAAACAGAATTGATTTTTCATAAAGAAAGAATTTTAACGTGGTTGTAGTAAAGGACACTAGAAAATGGCATTATCTCATATACCTATAACTCTATAACCTATAAGTTATAGGTATATGCATTATCTTATCATTACACAAAAATAATTAATAATTATAATTGTTAACAAATATTTTATTTAAATAACATAACATTAAAAAATCAAGTCATTCTAAAATAAGAAAAATAAATAAAATATATAAAAATAAATAATTCTTAAGGTAAATAAAAAAATTAAAAAAAAAAATTGTTTATTAATAAATTTTCCTCGAAATTTTCAAGAAATTCAGTCGATTTTGCATCGTCATTAATATAAGCTTGCAAAGTGCCAAAATCCCTTAAGATTTTCCATAACACAGATTATACAAGAATAAATAAATAATGGGATTTGAAAATTGCCCGGCTATTTTTTCAGTTTTTGACATTTGACGGATGACGTACGGATGCGTCGTTGCCAAGTTGGCCATGCCAACGTAACAAATTTTAATTTGAAATTTTTTAAACTAGAAATTATTTTGTTGTTTTGTTTAAAAACAAATTTCATTATCAATGTTAAAATGTCTCCAAAAATGTCGCCAACACAATGTGAAAAACGCTAGGTTTGAGACACGTCGCAAATCATAAAAAAATGTCTCAAATGGCTACCTCAAAACGCTAGATCTAGCGACAAAGTCGCTAAGTTGGCAACACTGCTGAGAGCGATGTTGCTATATCGATGGTTATTTGACAAAACATCGTAAGCGACAATTATGTTGAATTACTTTTTATTTTATCAAAGTGTCAGCTAACATAATATTTATCTCAATGTTGGAATCTAATATTGGTCAGTTTGAAAATTTGTATTATTTTAAGCGCCTCTTTTTTTAATTTGTTACCGATTAAGAACGTAAGCGCCTATATGTTCCCGATAAATAATCGTAAGCAACTCCGAGACATGGCGTTTGCGATTTGACATTGTGTCGCTTACGATAATATTTTGCTTCCGCCTTGATCTATTAAGGCGTTATTCCCGCTCTAAACAGTTTATTCGTGAGTATACCTGCATCGTGGTGATTGCTACCAAGTTTTAAAATAACATTTTATTTGATCAAAAGCTTATAATTACTTTTTTTCATTGCATTATTAATAGTTATCCTAATTATATAGGATAATTAGGATAACTATTAATAATGCAATGAAAAAAAGTAATTATAAGCTTCTGATCAAATAAAATGTTATTTTAAAACTTGGTAGCAATCACCACGATGCAGGTATAGTTATAGTTATAATTGTTATAACCTAGTGTGGTTCGTTAAAAGTGTTTTTTGTTGTTCTAGTATGAGGTGCCGTTTGTGTCAAAATTAAAAGTGCAAAATAAACTTAGGTTGCTTTATAAATAATTAAATATATGCATTATTTACCAAATTATTTGTTTAATAAATTATTTGTTTATCAAAATATTTTTTTATCAATTATTTTTTATGAAATTATTTTTTTATTAAATTATTTTTTATTAACTTTTTTTGTAACAAATTATTTTTTTATGAAATTATTTTGAATGGATGACCTTGTTTCCTTTTTTTAGGGGAAATTTTTCGATTTGGCATATGATCTACCTTATGCGCATAGTCAATTCATAAGTGGGGGATTTAAAATATATGATACCATAAACATATTAATATGTCCATGTATGATACGAATTGTAAACTAAATTAAATTTAGGTTATTAATTTTATAATATTTATATTATGTAAAAGCCAATGAAAATCTCGTAAAGACAATGAAAAAAACATGCAAAAACAAACAAAATGGTTAATTATTAAAACCATCTACATATTAATATGTCTATAATAAAAACATTTTGACTATCGTGGTCAAAATACGATGTTGCCAAATTTTTGCTGTTATAAACATGCTATTATAAAATCCAAAATTTCATCATTTTAGTCAAATTAATTGACTCAAACTTATAACGGTTAGATCATGGTACCATGGCCATGCATGGGTTAGATACTGGTTTGTGAAGAATAATTGTTCGTTTTTTTCAAAGGAAGCTAATGTAGATTTTCATTTGTTTGACAAGATATCGTCGTTGATATTTTATAAATAATTTTTTTTTTTTTGGATTTTTTTTTAGTAATAAAAGTAAAAAAATAAATGTCACTTACAATTTTTTGACAAAGTAACGTAAATGTAACTTAAGCGACAAGACTAATTTTATATTTTCCTAAAGATGTTCTTATCGTATGCCACAAAATTTAATGAACATTTTAGATTGGATTCGATCTAACTTAAATATTTGAATTCTACATTAATAAAATAATGCCTCACCAGTTTTTAGATACATAACTTTATAAATAAAGTTCCCACACAAAAAAATCTCTCCTGTTAAATTTAGGTTTTGTTGCTTAAGATGTTTGGTCAAATAATCATCGATATGTCCTTTTGAAGTCTTGTAGGTATTTGCCCCTTTTAAAATAAAGTTTAAATTATTTTTGAATAAAACATAGGTACTTTAATCATTTTTTATTATTTATTTTTGCGTTTCATGAATTCAGATAAGTAATTTAGTTAAATTTTAATTATATTTTTACCAATAAATCGTTCAACTATGTCAAGTTATGAGGCCTATTCCCTTTCTTGCTGTTCGTAAACATCGATTTCTTAACATGTATGTTCACCCAACGACAAGCCAAACATCACCTATGTTTAAGGTTATTCCGTTTCTCATATGTTGAGAGTCTTGACCTTGAATCTTTCTGAACAGCGATAAATGTTTTTAGGACAGGGAGTTTCTTAGTTTTATAACCTAAAAGTCGCAGATCGTAAACTAAAATTGTGTTAGATAATTGTTTTAAAAATCATTGGTGATATTTAATATATTAAATGAACTTAAAAACAATTTGGGAAAATCCACAAATTCTAAAAATACTTGGGAAAAACGTTTTATGCTGAACTAGCCAAAGCACAGATCTTCTGGCAGGGCCATTAAGTCCATCCTTATATGGAAAAGGGTAATCATAAAATATCTTAAAATAATTATTTGTTACTTATTTTTACA